TCATGGGACTATCTTTCAACAGTCATATCCCTACACTCATGAACAAAAAGGTGTTGCAGAACGTAAACATCATCATATTCTCGATACTGCTCGATCCATGCTCATTTCTTACTCTGTTCCTAGTCGTTTCTGGGCTGAGGCCATTCTCACCTCTACTCATGCCATTAATATCACTCCATCTACCTCTCTTTCTGGTGCTACTCCTCATAGTCGTGTTTATACTCATCCTCCCCGTTATGATTTGGTCTGTATTTTTGGTTGTCGATGTTTCGTTCTTCTGCCATCTCACGAACGTGATAAATTGTCTCCCAGAGTTGTTCTATGTATCTATTTAGGAATTAGTTCGGAACATCGAGATTATCGTTGTTATGATCCCGCATCTCGTCGAGTTCATATATCTCGACATGTTCAGCTCGAAGAGGATTCTCCATTTTATTCTGTTTCCGATGATTTCAATTTTCTCCATACTACTGATCGTTCTTCTCTGTTAGCTACATCACCCACTTCCTTACCTTAGTTTTCCTTTCGGGATCTCCCTGAAATCGCTCCATCTTCTTCTGTGGACTCTCCCTCACCCGAGCCTTCTCTTCTACCATCTGATCCCTATCCCGTAAGCATGACACCCACTCCAGAAAATATTGTTGACCTATATACACCTGTACCAGCATCTCCCCCGCCTGAGGTTCCTCTAGCTCTTTGTCGAGGCAAATGCCCACATGTCATGCATGCACAGTATTCTTCGGTTACGTCCTATTCATCTATCTTTCATAATTTTCTTGTTGCTATTTATACTAAAATTGAGCCAAAGTCCTTTCAAGAGGCCGTTCAATTTTTAGAGTGGCGACAGACTATGGTTGAGGAATTTTAGGTTTTTCAACAAACACATACCTGGGATGTTGTTCCATGTCACCCTGGCATCTCTTTAGTTGGCAGTAAATGAGTTTATAAGGTCAAGTATCGTCCTGATGGCAGCATTAAACGTCGGAAAGCTCGTTTAGTGGCTCGAGGTTTTACTCAGCAACAAGGTATTGATTATGAGGAGACTTTTGCTACTGTTGCTCAGATGCCCACCGTTCGTACTCTTCTTACGGTCACTGCTGCTCATCGTTGGCCCTTATACCATATGGATGTCAAAAATGTTTTTCTCCATGGCTCTTTATCTGAGACAGTATATATACAACTGCCTCCAGGGTCTAATATTCCTACGATACATGTATGTCTCCTTCGCCGTGCTATATATGGTCTCAAGCAGGCATCCCGCGCTTGGTTTGAGTGTTTTCATGATATCGTGCTCAAGGCAGGCTTTATGGAAAGTCATCAAGATACTTCTCTGTTTGTTCGAACTACATCGCGTGGTAGAGTTTTATTACTTATCTATGTAGATGATATGATCATTACAGGTGACGATGTGGCTGGTATACAGTACGTAAAATCTCAGTTGCAACAACAGTTCCACATGAAGGATCTTGGATCTCTTCGATATTTTCTTGGTCTAGAAATTTCTCAAGACCCGCAGGGTGTACTACTGTCTCAACAGAAGTATTTCTCGGATATTCTAGATCGAGCTGAGCTAACTGACGATGCAACTGTCGATACTCCACTCCAACAGAATGTCAAACTTCGCTCTACTGATGGTGAGCCCCTATCTGATCCTACTCGATATCGACATCTTGTTGGCCAGTTGGTCTATCTGTGCATATCTCGACCAGATATCTCTCATGATGTTGGCATTGTCAGTCAATTTGTTAGTGCCCCACGTTCTGTATACTATGCTACTTTATTACGAATTCTTCGGTATCTCCGGGGTACTAGCACTCGCTCTCTTCTGTTTCCTGCTACATCCAAGTTAGAGCTTTCTTCGGTATCTCCGGGGTACTAGCACTCGCTCTCTTCTGTTTCCTGCTACATCCAAGTTAGAGCTTTGTGCATATTCTGATGCTACTAGCACTCGCTCTCTTCTGTTTCCTGCTACATCCAAGTTAGAGCTTTGTGCATATTCTGATGCTGATTAGGTTGGTGATCCCATTACCAGGAAGTCTACCACATGTTATTGTATATTTCTTGGTGATTCCCTAATTTCTTGGTGGAGTAAGAAACAAGATGTTGTTGTTCTTTCTAACACTGAGGCAGAGTATCGTACAATGTTCACAACAGCTAAAGAGATTATTCATCTTCGTCGTCTTCTTGGTGATTTCGCTATTTCTGTTACGACTTGTACTCCTCTCTACTGTGATAATAAGAATGCCATCCAGATTGCTAATAATCCAGTATTTCATGAGAGGACTAAACATATTGAGATCGATGCTCATTTTGTCCGTCAACAAATTATCAAGGACAAGACAATTCTACTTCCTCATGTCTCATCCGCTAACGAGCTTGCAGAGTTCTTCACAAAAGCCTTACATGTTCATCGATTCCAGTTTCTTGTAAGCAAACTCACTTTGTTTGCTCCAATATGAGTTTGAGGGAGGGGAGGGGGGGTTGGGGGGCTGTTGATAATAGTGTATTGTAGTGGGTTTTAATCCCACATGGTTGTGAGACTACACATCAACCTCCTCTACTTGTATAAATATATGTGTACACTCAATATTCAACCAAAAGGAAAATTTACCCAAGATTCTCTCTTATTTTAATAGAATTATTTTAATAAAATGGGTTGATGCGATATCTCATATTCCAAAATCTTTTTGCGCAATGAGTCAGCCATTTGATTAATGGAATGTGCTCCTCCTCCTCTCTCTCTCACGAGTCATCGTGCCAAAAGAAGAAGGTTAATTATCCTTCTTTGAGGAGATCAGCTACCAAACAAAGTTTTGAGTTCAAATGCACATGGTGCGTACTCACACTCATCAATCAAGATGCTTGCACAACGCTTCTTTTTTTCCCATTATCAAGGTAAAGAGGCTTTTGCTCAATCAAACTCGCACTTGTACAAGATCCAGGGGTATGTATAGATTTATGTATCCCTAGTGCCTGTGATGACATGGATACTGGTAAATGCAACTGTCCTAAAAGAACATTAAGAGAGAATTCTGCAAATTGATGATGAAGAAAGTTGAGAAAAGATTCTGCTGTACGGATTTTTTAAGATCTCGCAACCCCGAAAAACCACCTAAACGTAGCAAATAAAATCACATAAGATTTAACGTGGAAAACCCTCAATAAAGAAAAACCACGGGATCAAAATCAATTCACTATCACCTCCAAATTATAATCTTTTGCACGGACAAAGACTGTCAAACCCTCTCTCTCTTTCTCTCTACACTTCTTCTTCTTAGTTTTTGCTCTAATAATAGAAGGACATATATAGGGAAACCAAAACTCTATCTCTAGCCTAACTTCCCAATTAGAATAAGATTTAAACTCCTAATCATGAAGGAACCCAAACTCCTAATCATGATAGATCTCTAACCCTATCTAATTTTCATGAAGTCCTACGAAGAGTTAAAAACACTATACTAACTTGGAGTTTGAGTTGATACCCAACATCTGCAATTATGATAATGATAATTATACCATCTATTTTTTGATTAGCGGGCTTCGAGATTTGAACATTGATCCAATGGTAGACATTGTTTAGTTACATCATTAATACAAATGATTCGAGGTCGCTAGACATTGTGCAGATGCATATTAATACAAGGAATTAAGACTGCAAGTTACTTCCACCTACTCGGATGTAGAGCCTGTTAGTCCTCCGATTTTATTTTAGCTTAACATTCTAGTACAAGTTCACAAAATATATGAAAGATCACAACCGTCCTTCATGGCCCCAAAGCGAAAATCGTAAGTTCTGATTCTGGGGAAGTTTGCCAAAAGATACTAGATTCCTTGCTCCGTTGACCACAACGACGTCGTTCTTGTTGAAGTTGGTTATTTGTTGTCAGCTTTGGAGTTGAAGGGAACTCGTTTGATGTGGAACCCAACTCGTTAGAGAGGGATCAGGGGGCAATCTTTGATAGAGCCATGCTCTGCACAACAATGTCATGGACGTGTCATCCCTAGCATTTAATGCGGGGATACGGTGATCTAACATCGGACATTGGTCACCAACCACCATCATTGCGCCGTCATCCCTGTGAACCGCACGCAAGGTTGGGCCCACACAGGGCTATGCTTGCGCGGAGTTGACACACACGCAGGGTTCAGCTCCCGCGAGGCTAAGCGCCACTAGTAGGAACTAATTGCTCACAAGGGGCTAAAAGCGTCACTCGGAGGTAAGCTCCGTTTGAGCTAGCCCGTCCTCCTCCTTCGAGTTGATTTCAGGCCTGCTTTTTAGCTTTTTTTTTTAAGATTTTACAGTTCTGTATCCTTATTGGCCAACTCGCGATCTATCTCGATTTCATCGAGCCCATTGATCACGCTGAAGGACCAAAGTGCCCATGGTGGGACCCACGTCTGTATTGCCTTCCAGAAGCAAGAAACAAAGCAAAAGCAGCTCATCTTGCCTTTGTTGTTAGGAAAATGATAGGGACACACCCCCAACCACAATCTCAACCACACCCCCTCTCTCATTTGCTACAGTACACCGGGCCCCACATGGGATTTTAAAATTTAAAATCTCATGTGGAGCCCGGTGTACTGTAGCAAATGAGAGAGGGGGTGTGGTTGAGATTATGGTTGGGGGTATGACCCTAATGCCACCCTTGTTGTTAATCAACACAGCCTGAGTCGTCCGTAGAGCAATGATTTACATGGAACATACGTATCACAATCACGGTTTTTTGGATCCGGATACTCTGAAGCAAGCTAAGGTTTCAACGTGAGAAGAATTCCATCAGCCATTCACGTACCCGTCACTCTAAAGTTAGTAGGTGGCTGTCTCTTCTCCACGCTTTAGCCTCCACCCACCAAAGCAAAATACTCCCCAACCAGCTCACAATCTTCAATCCAATCATGGACCGCAGGGGTCTCATTCCTTCACTAGTAAAACTATCTAGATTCTTATCCTCTTATCAAAAGCGAAGCCAAAAAGCCAAGAAAACAACAAAAATACAAGGGAAACACAACAGCCACCCAAACATCATCCCATTTCACATTTGTTTATCGCAGCACAGAGGCCTCTGCTATTGCTGCTCTACCTTAAATTTTGGGAAGAGACAATGACATGAGTGGCACTGAGAGAAGCATTTTAAGTATGTTGTGCTCGGAGATGAGTGACGTTAATAACCTCCATTATAGGGCATCTGTTTATTGATAAGCATGTTCGAGGGGTAGAAACATGTGTATAAATATAAATATTGAACAAATTTAAATCACCCAAATTGCGCCCGTGGCATTATGCGAAGGTAATATAGCAAGAGGCTGAGGCTGAGGAGGGGCAATGCTGAGCTCAAGATCATTGTTGTCTACTGAAGGAAAATTTATCGGTTGCTGAACTGGAAAATTTGCTAGAGGGAGCTGGAGGATATCTGACCCAACTGGTAGAGTTGTAGAGCTTGCGTAGAGCCTTGAGTTCACTTGATCGGTGAAGCTTGTGTTCTGTATAAACTCAATCATTAGCAATGAACATCATATAGGATAAGAAAATTGGAGTGAAGTAGAATAACTTAAAGTGAACTGAGGGCGATGTCCACCAACCATTTTATCCACTGATTTTGTTTTAAGGTTCGTGGTCGTGTGAATACACATCAAAGCACACAACTCAAAGATATCTTTGATGCGTATCAAACACCAACACAAATCTCAAAGCAAATCTAACATATCATAAGAGTTACAAAGTCACTAGACAGAGACCTCAATTCACTTATGTTTATTAATACTTTTACTTGACAAAATTGCATGGTTAATCAAATAATCAAGAGACTGCTGACATTTTTATGATTCGAAGTGTTGGTATCCTTTGTTGCCATGATAAAGGCTTGCAAGGGTTCTGCAACTCCAACGAAAGATGGTGCATTCACCTAGTAGTTTAGGACAATTGGACAATGTTAGTTTGCTCATATCGTAGAGCCAAAGAGGAACCAGAAGAAAAGAAATTTGAACTTGTGGATTTACCAACTGACCAACCTGCGATTGATTATTATTCCTTTCAGCATCATCAACTTTATTTGAAGATAATTCAGTGGGAGTTTCAGTAAGGGCAAGGTTAGCCTGTGGAAGAGTTTTATCATGAACTGAATGGTATGTCAAAGAGTAGTATATATTACGAGTATTTTAATGGAAATGAGCGAAAGAAAGGTTACATTATTATCATTGATCCCCATGTCAAAGAGGCTAGATCGCCTCTTCTTTTTATTGGGATTACTCTGCCTAAGGAAATACTTTTGAGCATGACTTGCTACTTGAGTCGGAGTTCTCGTTGTCACAAAGTTCTTCGAAATTCCTCTCCAATCTCCCTTGCCAAGCTTTTCGAGTCCGGCAAGAAATGTCCTGTGTTCTTCTTCGGTCCATGGAACTCCTGAATGAGTAAAAATTCTTTTTGAGATTAAACTCCACATCATCATCATCATCATCATAAGTTCATAACTACTCACCAAGTCTAAAATTTTACAATTGTCAATAAAATGGATAGTAGTAACAGTCAGGGCATTACGTTAATACATTCTCTACACATCTTTTAAAGAAAAGGGGCCAACTACTTTAGATCAGTCACATTGTTGCATGAAATAGAAGTTTTATATGAGTTAATTCTTGCGTTATTTCTGTACTCCTATTGTGCTTTATATCTCAGAACAATTCATAGCTCTATTGGATACTTCATGTAATTTTCCACTGACTTCTACTTTAATTGTAAACTACGCAAGTGATCGCAAAACCATGACATCAGTCAAGAGGAACCTTGTAAACTACTTAATTGACAAAGCCTTGTAAACTACTTAATTGACAAAGCTAATGCCTATAATGAATTCATTGCAAACTAGAAAACAACATTAGCAAGATTACACAATCCATAGAGAACCTAATAATATCCATCTCAAGAAACCCAAACTAGCAATAAGCTTTTCTTATCAACGGACTAAAAAATAAAAATATAAACAACTCGTTTGACCAAAAGATTTGCATCTGTGATTTCTGAGGGGGAGAAAGCCACGGATTCCAAGTCACAATCTTATCCGTCAAGAATCAGCTGCTATAAGAATTGCACAAGATATCCAGCATCCAATTACCTAAATTATCACTACTAAATAAAGGTAGGTATTAATTGGAAGAAACAATCTTTATCATATCTTTATTTTAAAGTAGAATAATTTGGCATTTTGAGAATAATAAATTGCAGATAACTCCCCTCTCTCTTACGAATTGAGGGGTGCGAGGTGCTAATAAATGAGTTGAGGGGGGGACGAGTTACGAATTCATAAAAACCCATGCTTATATTGATTCCACATCCTCGAAAAATCCAAGGTATTCACATAACCGTACAAATATAGGACAAATCGAACAAATCAAGCCAACTCAAAAGTTCCCGTAAAATGGAAAAAAATAAAAATAAACGAATCCCTCAACTAAATCTCGCCGAAGGAATGAGACCCAGGAATCAAATCTCAATATTATCCCCAAAATTACGACTTCTAAACTCGGAAAAGTTACCTCTTTTCCTCTCTGGTCGAGCCCTAGTCCTCGAGTTCTGAGCGAGGCCGCCATCGGACAGGTACCCACTATCCAGAGAGCTCTGGTTCGCTGCGCACGACGCCAAATCCCCAGTGCTCTTGCTCTTTCTCATCACCTCCTCCTCGATTGGCTCCCCGACCGCCGCCGCCTCGATTAGGACGCCGAACAGCTTCAGTCCCTTCTCCTTCTCCATCGCAGCGATGTCCCTCCCCGCACGAATGTTGATGCAGCGATCTTATTTATTGGGTTTTTTTTTCAGCAGGGAGGAGTGGGGGCAAACGGCGGAGAGAAATAGGAGGAAGAAAATGGAGTAGTTGTGTTGGAAAACGTAGGTTATTATTTTATGGGGGGAGGTATATCTTATATAGGAGCGCGTGTTTGTAAATGGGCGCGGATGCGTGAGGAATTACGAAGATGCCACCTCATCGTGTTTTTTTTAAATGGATAATAATTTTTGATTAAGAATTAGTCAATGATGCTTCATTTGGATTGGGATCGGGTAACCGCCCAAGATGAGTTTTCGTCCATGATATTTATGGTGACCACCCAGATTTGGAATTTTATATACTAATATATATATTAATTTGTTATATGTTTGATGTATCATTAAGGGGCTGTTTGGTTCGTTTCCTTGATATAGGGAAATGCAATTCCATATAAAAAAATACAAGTTTTGAGTTTTTCAAACTTTTCCAAGAAATGGATTATTTTGCTTTGGTTCGCACATAAAAAATAGTGAGAAACCAATGTATTTATTTTTCTTGTGTTTGGTTCGCATAGAAAAAAAGGAAAACTTTTGTAAACAAAGCAGAGAAGGAAAAAATCTGACGTGGCAGAGTTTTCATCAATTTTACTCGGTTGGGGAAGAAAATCGGAGAGGGAAAAAAATCTGAGCTGGCGGCGATTTCAGCAGAGTTTTCCCTCTTCCATCCGAGCGAACCAAAGCGGCACAAAGAAATGGACGGAAACAAAAAAAAACAGACGTGGAGGACTAAAATCTGACGTGGAGAGGTTTTCTGAGTTTTCCACCCCTTATAATAGCAAACCAAACAGCCCCTAAGGGTAAGTTTCAAAAAAAACCCTAAAAAGTTTAGCTGGTTTTGAGATAACCGGCAAAATTTAGAAATGTCACTTAGTCCTTAAGGTGCCGTTTGGCAAAGGATTAAATGGGGGATTAAGGAAACTTAACCCCTTCTTAAGGGTTAAAGTGAGTTAACCCTTCATAATTTACCAAACACAAAAAAAATAGAAGTGATTAAGCCAACCCTTCTAGATGGATTAAATGAGTTAACCCCTCAAAATAAGGGGTCTACTAATACTCGTATTTAGAATGATTAAGAGTTAACCCTTCTAATTATAAAGAAAATAGTCAAATGCTTGTTATTCCCAAACACTAAAAATGGTCACAATGGCTAAAATAAAACTTATATAATGAGTTAATAATTTAGTCTTTCGGATTATCAAGTAGGTTAACTATGTTAATCATTCTTCTTAATCTCTCTTCCTTAACCCTTAACCCTTTACCAAACAGAGCCTAACTTATCTAAGATAAACCCTCTACCTAGCGTTACACCTCACTGTGCATATGAAAAGATCATGAATGAGTAAATGACCAAACTCTCTTAATTATTTGAAATGTAATTTTCAAACCCACCCCCTCCCCCCTAAAAAAACCCCAAACACCAATCACAAAAAAAATAATAAAGAGAAAAATGTGTCGAGGCCCCAAAAGTAGTAACTACATGTGACCAGACCCCCACTTATTTCTCCCGTGTGGATCAGCCCCAAAAGTACTGTTTAATGTGTCAAGACCCCTCCACGTCAGCAGCATACAAAAAAGAGATTGTATTTTGGAAAAAAAACCAGAAATTGTCATTCTCCTTCTTCCCTAAACGCCTCGTCCACAAAAGCACGGAAAGTCACGTTCTATTAATGCGATCCGACGGAAGAAATTGAGGCCCCCCCCCCCCCCCCCCAATCTTTTTTTACTCTATCATGAGCAATAACTAGTTAGTTGTTCATTACTATTCCCCAGCCCAAAATTCTCTTCATTACTCTTTCTATTACTCCTTTTATCCTTAAATTCGATCCATTACTCTTACATTCCCTTCATAATGGCTAAGAAGGCTATCATCTGCATTGTCTCTTTGCAGTATTCTTGAAGATTAACTCTTCAACCACCATATTGGATCTCAAATTTGATGTGTCAGAGAGATTAGATCTTCCATATGATTCATTAACTTTGTCATACAAAGATGAAACAAACGAAAGCTTCAAATTTCCTATTGAGAATGAAGATGACTTATCGTTTATGGTGGAGCATTGCACAATATTGGATTTCATGTTAGTTCTAATGGATATTTAAAGAATCATCTGGGACAAGACTAGTAAGTTATTGGATTTTTTTGATGCTATGATCAATATTTATTACGTTAAGTGTAAAATAAGTTCATGTTAGTTCCATGTTAGTTCTATGTTATGTGTAATTAGAGTTCATGTTAGTTCTAATTGCAGTTCATATTAGTTCTAATTGGAGTTTATGTTATTCTAATCAATTTCTTGTTAGCTCTAATGGATTTCGTGTTAGTTCTAATGGATTTTATGTTAGTTCTAGTTCCAGTTCCATGTTAGGTCAAATATACAGCTCGTGTTAGATCTAGTTGAGTTCGTATTAGTTCTAATGGATTTCGTGTTAGTTCTAATATATTTTGTGTTAGTTCTAGTTTCAGTTCCATGTTAGGTCAAATATGCAGTTCATGTTAGTTCTAATTGAGTTCGTGTTAGTTCTAATTGAGATTGTGTTAGTTCTAATGGATTTCATATTAGTTGTAAAAGCAGTTCACATTAGTTAGTTGAAATCGTGTTAGTTCTAATTCGATTCGTGCTAGTTCTAGTAGAGATCGTGTTAGTTCTAATGAATTTTGTGTTAGTTCTAATTCCAGTGCTATGTTAGTTCTAATATGCAGTTCACGTTAGTTCTAATTCGATTCATTTTAGTTCTAATGGATTTCATGTTAGTTCTAATTTAGTTCTAATGGATATTTAAAGAATCATCTGTTTCTTGAAAAGCTTACAGGTGAATCTCTTTTAATCCAATATTGTGCAATACTCCACCATAAACGACAGATCATCTTCCTTCTCAATAGGAAATTTGAAGCTTCTGTTAGACCCTAGAAGGGGAAGAGGGGGGGGGGTGATTAGTGTCTTATGCTAATCTAATATGATTTTATGCAAATAAAAACTAATTCAACAAACTATTCTTGCAAGATAGATATGTTGGGGAATCCGAAACAATCAAATCGGATCCTTGCCCTTCCGGACCTTGTGTTGAAAGTAGGAAAGTAGAAAATTCACCACAAATAAAAAAGATAAAAGAGACGAACACACAGATTTAACGAGGTTCGGTAACGTGACTACGTTCTCGAGAGCCACACCACATAATTCCTTTATTAATTGAAGAAGAATTACAAGCTCTCAAACTAGGATTTTATCTCTCTGAGATTCTCTCTCTTTTCTACAGTCAAAAACTCTCTTTTTTCGTGCTCTATCAAACCCTAAAACATTTAGGTATTTATATCAAACTCAGCCCAAACAAAATTCCTAAACAGTTTAGGAAACTGTCATAGCGTCACGGTCGATCGCTAAGTTCCCGCAGTCGACCGTGAAAATTAGCAGAGCCTAGAAAAGTTACAGGGTTTGGCGCGGTCGACCGCCAAGCCAGGCGCAATCGATCGTGATCAAAAAACAAAAACTAAAATCCTACAGGGTTTGTACGGTCGACCAACACGGTCGACCACGATCAGCTCCAGACTCTTCAGAGCTCCTGTGCACGTTCGCGATCGACCGTCGCAAACTCGCGGTCGACCGTGGATCAGTCTGGTAGTTTTCTTCCTCGTTCTGATTCCAGCTTTGGCTTCGACTTTGGGTCTATAATTTAGACTAACAATCTCTCACTTGGAGACCAAAGTGCCTTCAGTGAGTTCACCCGAACTCTCCCCTTCTTCACATGTATCTTCTCCTCCCTTGAAAAATTCTTTCTTCAATCAACAATATCCCGACGATCTCGCCGATCCTCATAGTGTGGCTCCGCCTTCGTCTTCTACTCGTGAATGCCAACTGAAGTTACGCACAACTCCAGTTTCTCTATGGTGACTGCCTTCGTCAACATGTCCGCCGGATTTTAACTCCCCAAAATCTTCATTAAATGTAACTTTCCGTCTTCAACTAGCGAGCATATAAAATAATATTTAACGTCGATGTGCTTCGTTCTGGCATGATATACTGGATTCTTGGTAAGATGTATAGCGTTCTGACTATCACAATAAAGAACCCCTCTCTCTTACTTCTAATCCAACTATTCCAAGCACCCGTTCAACCAGATCATTTCCTTGATTGCTTCGGTCACCGTGACATACTCAGACTCGGTTGTAGACAAAGTCACAATCTTCTGCAGATGTGAGACCCAGCTCACTGCTGTCAACGCTAAGGTATAAATATACCCCGTAGTGCTTCGTCTCGTATCATGATCACCGACGAAGTCCGCATCCACGTATCCCTGCAGCACCAACTCCTTTCTCCTGAAACATAGTGGGTCATTAGTTGTTCCCCTCAAGTACCACATTATCCACTTCACGATCTCCCAATGCTGCTTCCCTGGATTGCTAGCAAACCTGCTCACAACTCCCACTGCATGGGTAATGTCCGGCCTCGTGTAAACCATCACGTACATGAGACTCCCAATGGCCGAAGAATATGACACCCTGCTCATATGCTCTCTATCTGCATCTGTCTTAGGTGATTGCTCTTCAGATAGCTTGAACTGACATCCAAGGGGCGTGCTAACAACCTTAGCATTCTACATATTAAACCTCTGAAGTACCTTCTCGATATATTCAGCTTGGCTCAAACTCAATGTCCCTTTAGCTTCATTCCTACTAATTCACATCCCTAGAATCTGCTTCGTTGCACCGAGATCTTTCATTACAAACTCCTTTGCTAGCTGCTTCTTCAGACTGTTTATATTTTCTAAACACGGTCCTGCCTTTGCTAGCTGCTTCTTCAGACTGTTTATATTTTCTAAACACGGTCCTGCTACCAACATGTCATCAACATATAATAACAAGATAATTGCTACCAACATGTCATCAACATATAATAACAAGATAATGAAGCTGGACTCGAACCTTTTGAAATAACAGTAATGATCCGAATTACATCTTCTATAGCCATTGTTTTGCATGAAGTTTTCAAACTTCTTGTACCACTGTTTCAGAGCCTGTTTCAAACCATATAAGCTCTTCTTGAGCTTGCACAACATCTCTTCCTTTC